AAGCAGCCGTTGAGTTTCCAGAAGTGCCTACGCGCAATTTACGAGTAGCGCTCGGACGCTACTAGGGTGGAGCTATGGCTCGACCTCAAGCAGGGCTCATCTTGACTTTGAAGTCTGGATACTTCAACAATCATGAGGAAGCAGATCAGCTTGTTCTTGCTGAGCTCAGTGCAGTCGTCAACGACTACATCATGAAGGCAGGAATCTTTGCGGCGAAACTGACGAGGTTTGTAATAGAAAGGCGTCGGAGTTGCTGTCTTTTGCTCTTGGGTGTATCTCAAAACACGGCCCGGGGTTGCAATGATGCAGGTTCGAAGGCAGTCCGCACGGAGTTGTTATGTGGCGCTTCGATCTGAAACGCCTTCTCAAGTGGATGATGTGGTATCTGCGCATTCTAGCAAGGGGACTGTGCGCCGCATGGTCCAAGAAGAATTTTCTTCTCAAGTTCAACAGGATGCTGATTTGAAGAGAAAACGTGAGCGCCAGGCAGATGCAGTCGATTCTGTGAACCCCACCATGGTTGAAGATCTGTGGAAGTATGCAAGTGGATCAGGCTCTACAAAGCAAAAGAGGACGGACGCAAGGAGGTCCTTGCGAATTTTAGACCGAGTTACCGCAGTACAATCTTCAGGTCTTCGTGTGAGTGGTATTTCAGAGCGGGATGAGCAAGCTGATTGAGTTACGTTACAGCACGAGTGATGAAATATGTCGAGATGAATCAACGAAGTGCAATGTGGCTTCTGTACAGCTTGTGTGACCCCATGACAGGCAGAGGGAGTCGCGGACAGAAATGCCGCATCAGATCCTTTGTTGCTAGAGAAATGATTTTTGTTACAGCGAGAACAGTGGCATTGGATCCACTGCAGAGTTTCAGATCCCTTGTCGTTCCATGTGGCCGGCTGATGCGCAGGGAGTGAAAGTGATTTCTAGCCATGGTGTGACTCTGAGACACAACTTGATCCTAAGCTGTTGTTTCTGTTCGCAAAGACTGTTGTTGATGAAAAATCCTTTCTCTGTGGGCACAGCTTTTTAGTTTGAAGTTAGGGCTGCTTGGCGCTTGAGTCTGCAATATCTTAAGTTTCAATAGAAGCAATGGTGCGGTTCTGAAATATGTACAGATGAATCAAGGACGTGCAAGGTAGCTTGCGTACAGCTTGCGTGACCCCATTACAGGCAGAGGGAGTTGCTGACAGAAAGTCCTCGTCAAATCTTTGGTTACAAGAGGAAATTAATTAATCTACAGTCTAAGCAGTGGCAGTTGATCCGCTGCGGAGTGTCAATGCTCTGGCCTTCCACGTTGCCGGCTGTTGCGCAGAGAGTGGACATGATGTCTAGCCATGGTGTGAATCTGAGACAGAACTTGATCCCAAGCTGTAGTTTCTGTTCTCAAGTGCTGCTTTGGACGAAAAGTCCTTTCTCTTCGGGAACAGCTTTTTGGTTTGAAGGGCGAGCTGCCTGGAGCTATGTTCGAAGTTTGAAAAGGAGCGAGGAGGTTGGTAGGTTGAGAAATCTTCATACGATGACATGTTCGGTAGTGTGGTTGGTAGAAGCTAAGATGAAGAGACATTTCTTCATGGGATGGGCATGTTTTTGTGATTGAAGGCCGCTCGAAACAACGTGGCTTAGTTTGACCATGGCGATGTTTGTTTGTCCATCGTTTTGAATGTCACATGTACCAAATATTCTTCTTTGTGTCATATCATATCACTACATTTCCAGAGGACGGCACTCAGCTGCAGTTTTACATCGCTTGGCTCTGGAAGCTCGTGCGTTGCTGGGTGAGAATCTTTTGCATCGTAGCTAACCATGCTGCTGAAAAAGAGAAGAGTGAGTTCTAGCAGTGCATCCAGAGGACCCACAGCAGCGGCGGTGGCCGGACCTATTGCCTCTTTCCATCGTGCAGATCACGGCTTGGTGACAGACGAATTCCAAGCGGTCTTGGTGTATGCAGGCGAGACGAATGGAAAGTCTTCCGATCTGGTTCTTGCTGATTCGTCAGGCATCATGCAGGTTGTGTTGCTTGGCTCATTGAGGACAGGATGCTTTGCCGCGTGGTGTCGATAGGTAGAAAAAAAGAAGTCAAGTTTACAGAGAATAGATATGTGTTGGTTGCGGAGTGCATATCCGGATGGCGCCTTTTGATTGGAGAAGTTGTGGAACCACTGGTACTTGAGGTGTATGATGCTGCTTGCTGTGTGTGTGTCTGCAGTCTCTGGGAAGTAACATTTGCCTAGCGTGTGGCTCATGAGTGGTAAGGTCGGAGCATATTTGGTATATGTGAATTGCTCTGCGTGCTGAGGTTGTGGCGTAATGGAATGGAGAAGAAAGCTGTCCAGATGCGGCAGCTGTACGTCCAGGGAAGTACTACCCCAATGCTACGGTTGAAAGGATTCAAGATTGGAGACCCGTATCCAACACCTGCCGTGAATCAGAGCTATCGGCGCCTGTCTTCTGTCTCTGGAAGTACATTGGAAGTGTGCCCAGACGAGAGCTCAGTGGTGGTTGTGAAGCCGGTAACAGAAATGTATACTGACAACTTTCTTCATCTGCTTGGTGAAGCCGGTGGAGTCTGCCTCCAAGGGATCATAGAAGCCTCTCCAGAGCTTGGTTCAACGGAGAAAGGCAATGAGAAAGCTTCATTCTCGCTGATGGACAAAGGTGGCTACCACTTGCGTGTTTTGGCGATTGGCACGAACGCAGCGGCTGTGAGCGAGTTGACAGCCGGTAGCCGGATTTTTGTGCATGGTGGAGAGTTAGTTCAGGAGCTAGCTTGAGAGAATGTCTCGATGTGTCGGTGGTTTGTGTTGACACCGGTACTTTGGTGTATACCGCAAAAAAAAAACTTCCATATTCGTGGCTTGTTGTGATGCAGGATCAAGATGGCGGCAAAGTCTTGGTTTGGGAGCGATCGTTCCTGGGTACATTGCCGCCTGCGACGGAGGCCGCTAAGGAAACAAAGAACGAGAAGGTGGCTGAGGAAGCAGAGAACGAAGTGGACTCCTGAAGGTGGATGCCTCGAGCTTGTGGCTTTAGTACAGCTTGGGAATGTGTACAGCTTGCGTGACCCCATTACAGGCAGAGGGAGTCGCTAACAGAAAGTCCCAATCAAATCTTTTGCTCCAAGAGGAAATCAATTCATCTACAGCATGAGCAGTGGCATTTGATCCGCTGCAGCGTTTCAAGCGCAGAGAGTGGACATTATTTCTAGCCATGGTGTGAATCTGAGGCACAACTTGATCCCAAGGTGTTGTTTCTGTTCTCCAGTGCTGTTTTTGATGAAAAATCCAGTTTCTGTGGGAACGGCTTTTTGGATTGAAGGTGAGGCTGTCTGGAGCTCTGTTCTGCGAAGTTTGAAGTTTGAAAAGGAGCAATGGAGTCGGTAAATGGAGAAATTTGATAGAAAGTCTGATAGCTTGAAAGGAAGTGGAAAAGAAGGATAGCATGGATGCGCAAATAAGATGCAAAACGTAGACCATCAAAGGGACGGAAGAGTATTGGAGATGTTTTCTATTTTTTGGTCTGTAGCTTCAAATTCTGAAGCATTAGATATTGTCCAAGCCAAATTTGACCAATTCTGTGTCCATGACGATAGACTGAGGAACGCCTGTCCTGCCTTGATCGACAGTCGAGTGAGTGACATTCTGCGGTATCCCATCATTTGTCTCATCTTCCTTCCACGGCTGACTGAACACGCATTTAGCGTGGTTTGCTTTTCCCGCCGCGGCAGCGGCGAGCACTGCATGTCTGCGGCGCGACCAGAGGCCCCAAGTACTGGCATCGACTATCCCTTCGCCGTGGCTAGCATCAACGTCACTCAACACTTGGCCAGGCACCGGAGACGGGATAACCTGCAAAGACTTTTTGCACCCAAGAAACACGAAAGCGGATCATTGTCCACTTGCATGGTGATTGGAGGGGTAACGAAATGTAACGAGTCTAGACAGTGTCATGGATTCCACATGGAATCTGGATGCTTTTGTTCGCTGGATTTAGCCGGTGTTTCTTGCTTCATTGAAAACTGGGTATCTTCATGGACACTTTTTTGGGCAACTTCCGAGACTACAGTGACGAGTTTGAAACGTTTCCTCCATTTCATGTTCCTTTCATTTTCTCTCATGTTCCTATCGCGTTCCTCCATTTCCTTTCATTTCCTCTACCTCGATTGTTTTCAGCATGATATTGGGGTACATTTTGGGAGCATTATCTCGGCGACCGGCGGAAGGGACAATGCTCATGAATACGCGAGAATAACTCTTGAAGTTGAACTCCGACATTGTCCAATTTGTAGGCAGATCTGAAGAGAGGAGATACACAAGTTTTCGTGTCCAAACCAAATTTGTCCAACTCTGTATCCATGACGATAGACTGAGGAACGCCTGCAGTTCAGTCTGGCCGAGCCTCCCCTGGTCGCACTTTCGCTGCCCAACGCCGCTTGTGGATCCTTATAAAACAAAGACAGTTTTCTTCTATTTTTCTCGCGCATCTTGGCCCCGAACACCTGGCGCCGCCACAGCTTTTCCCCATCTAATTCTGGTCCAAAACGAGCCTCCCCTGGTCGCACTTTCGCTGCCAAACGCCGCTTCTGGATCCAGAGAACAAAGACAGTTTTCTTCCATTTTTCTCGCGCATCCTGGCCCCGAACACCCTAAACCCTAAACCCTAAATCAGAGGTCCGGGAAAAGTTTGAAGCTTAGCAAACGGCGCCAGTTCGAAGCTTAGCAAACGGCGCCAGTTCTGGCCCCCAAAAAACCTCGATTCTTCAAACTTAGCTACCCCCAAGCCCCAAACAGCTACCCGTAATCCCTGGCGCGCTCCCCCTTGCTACGGCGGGGTCGGCGGATAGTTTATATGTAACATAATCGACAACTGTGGGCGTAGTTGATGATGGCGCAGATGCTCGGACAAAGCTCACGGACTTATGCATATGTGCGCTTGATTTCTCGCGGCACGCAATTAAAGAACAGACTCTTCCTTTTTCTCTGCAGAGCCGCAGATGCAAGGCTCCTTGTTGGGGCAGATGCAGGGCACTTGCTCCTTGGAGCGAAAGGCAGTTGATGGCATTTTGCTTGTGGATGCCTGGTCTGCGGCATCCCCTGCGTATGCAGCACGTTCGTTTCACAGGTGGGGGTGGTTCCATCAGTTCATGTCAATCTCTCGAAGTTCTTTCCATCCAGGTGCGGGATTGACACATGAAACGAGCGAAGGATTTTCCACCTTGAGAGTGTAATTAGCGAGTTGGTTGGTGTCATTTTTCAGACCAAGACATCCGACTTGCCGTGTCCCCAGACAATTTTTGCTGAGAACCACCAGCTGCAACCACGAAACGTAGCACCTGGTGCATCTACGTCTACGATCATTTACGCACACTGCCACAGGAATCGATGACCACAATAAAAAGACCTTTTTTGTTTGTCCTGCTACTTTTCCACATGTTTTGTGATCTTAGCTACTTCGATTTCGACAGCTGTCGCGGTAGATACCACCTCCGTCCTGGAGAGACCTCCCGCCGGACTCGTCACACCACGTGTCTTGGAGCGTCGGTGTGAGCTGTTCTAAGGCTTTGCGGCCTGGAAAGCCGCAGCGGAAGATGGCCGGGCAGCCGATCTGAGCAGAGCCACAGAGATATGCCACGGTACCCTGATGACATTCGTCTCAAAAGGAGGGCATGAAACTTCAATAGACATTTTGGGGACCTGAGGCTTCATTGAAGCATTCTGGTAATTCCGAATTGTCCACTTGTTCACTCATTAAGGTCCATGATGAACCCCCCCATGGACGTGGACGATAGTGTCAATGTGAACGATGTGGACGTTTCGTACTAGTGACTAGTAGTGTCAAAACACACAGTCATATGAAATCTTTTGCACGGCTGACTCAAACTTGTTCCGCCAAACTGGACGACTTGATTGACTTGATTGCGACCCTTCTCGTAACATTTGGCCCAAGATAGAGACTGTAGCTTCAAGATTTCCCTGGAGCTTGTCTTTATAGTTTCGACCAGTCGGGTAGACAACTTGGACCGACCGGTTTCGGTGAATTGAAGCTGGGAGCGCCCCTCCTGTTTCTCCAAGGGACCAGCCACACCAAGCTCGGGCTTTACCTTATCCAAACCAGACCAGACCCAACCAGATCACAGCTTTGAAGCCGTGCTTCGGATGAGCTATCAGTGCCTACCCTGTCAGAACACAGACAACTCGCAACAGTCTTCTCACCCTTTGTGCTGATGTTGATGTCCAAAATACCTACAACTTGCCTACAACCCTCTACTTCTCTAATCTACTTCTCTCTACTCCTCGCTTCCCTTCTAACTCCTCGCTTAGTCTTCTTCCTGCTCCACAGCTCCATGGCGCATGGCGCAGCTCCAAGAGCTCTTGCGCTTGGCACACACGCCGAACCCGCAGATGCAGTCTGCCACGCAGCAGTTGTCCAGCCTGGAGAGGGAGGGGAATATATGGGTATATATGTTGGGTCCAGGATTCGCTATGAGCCGTCGAGATCCGTTTGATTGAGCCGTATGGAGCCAGCGAGCTTTTTCAAACGCTTTTGACCTCAACGCAGCTAGCATATCTCATCTATTCCCCCCAGGCGCAGAGGCCTTTCCTATTAGGTTGGACGCCATTGCTTCTAGGTTGGAGGCCATTGGTATTAGGTTGGAGACTTGTCAATGTATTTCGCACAGGAGCTCCAGCCGGGCTTTGGCGCAGCACTGCTGGCGTTGCTGCAGAGTTGCGGTGAGGCGCTCCTGGCGCAGGTCGGGTCTCTCGGGTCCAGGTCTCGGAAGAACAGCGAGCAAATACAATGTGCTCATGACGCTACATGTAGCTCCTGACCTTACTAACTACTAGTAACAAGAAGCTATTAGAAACAAGTGCCACGCTAGTAGTAACAGGTGCCTTACTACTAGTAACAAGGATGCTACTAGTAACAAAGGGCATCGCTACGAACGGAGAGATCGGACGCTACGAACGGGGCTGCTGGTCTTACGACTAATACAATTGCACTCATGAACTAAACCCACCAACTCGTGGGAACTCACTCGAAGTGGAATCTTTAAGTTGTTTGCTTATTTGACTCGTGCTTCTTTTTGATTGGAATGGTTGGAAGTTGGATTGGTTTTGAAAGACGGTCGAGAGGAGTTTCTTCCACTTCATGTTGTCAAGTCGGTTACTTGGAGGCTGCAAGCGATGGCCTCCAACCTACTAGCGATGGCCTCCACCCTACTAGCGATAGAGGTTGGAGTTATCCTTACTTGTTTGATGCCGTGATGAATGTGCTTCTTTGCGTCGGTCACATTATTTGGTTCATCCTCGGGGACATGAAAAATAAGTCAATAGCATTCTTCTCCTCGCGCCATGTCTCGCTATTTCGTGAAGAACGGGTTGGGACAAATCACTAAAGCTCCCATTCGCCCCAGGCCGCAGCCATATACTTGAAGAACTTCTTACAACGGCGATGGCAGAGCTTGGAGGATTTGACAGTGGGACGTTGGATGGGGCCAAAGAAAGCATCAGACAGGTGTTGGTGACACATGCGTGGTAGGTTGCTGATCTCAAGTGAAAGCACAAAAGGATCCATGTGGGAATATTGTTTATAAAATCAGGGGGATGTGTTCAGACATCAGGAGGATTCTATAGAGAAAATATGTTTTTACTGTAAAGCTCTATATGATCAAAAGGCAACAAATCAAGCAATGAGCATCAAAAATCATTTTGTGGCATAGGCCAGACATTTTTTTTAATAGAAAGCACGTTGGCAACCTGGGAACAGAATCTATAGAAAGAGACTTGCCTGAAAAAGGTGAAACATGAATTCTATAAAGGAAGCATTTTATAGAGGTCATAAAAGACAGGAACAAGATGCTATAGAAAGCAGAACCTCTCGGACAGAGCAGTCGCACAGGTTCCTTCTGAAGAGCGGCCAAAACTTATGTGTTCAATCGGTTTTTCACTCTATAGAAATCAGTCCTGTCACGGGTTCAACATTTTCTGTCTGATTCTTGGTTCCCCTGTTTGAGATTATATTTTTTAGTATATAAGTACTATCTAACAAAGAATTGGGACGCTTGTCCCAGGTGGACCTGTGCCATCAGATTTTTATAGTGTGGCCATGTTGTTTTAAGGATTTTATAGTTTGAAAGTATCTACTCCAACTGGTCTTTTTGTAGGAGCTGGCCCTCAGCTCCTACCTGAAACTCACACCCAGATTAAAAAGGTGTGTCTTGAGTTTCTGTTGTGAAGATCAGGTGGGGTATGGTGGGGTTGAGATCTAGCTGTTCAAGAATGCAGGGTGATCCAATGCGAATGCCACACTTCTCCAATGCGAATCTGTCCTGACTTCTCAGAACTGCACTCTTCCCTGCAGATTGGCCTCCTTTTGTCAAAACTAGCCTTGTATAATCCTTTTGACAGCAAAGTGGGTTGAAATGACTGATATCACTGATATCCCAAGTTTTCATGGAGAGATTGGATGACTTCTCACTGGATGATATCCGCAACTATCGAACAATCAACTGCGAAAAGACAAGAAAAAGAGCCCACCATACTACTTCCACTCCACCACCTTCCACTCCACTCCACCTTCCGGTCCACCATGACTGGTGACCGGCAGGACCGGGAGATGTTGCGGGACTCGCTGGTGCCGGTGGCCCTGGCGGCCGAGAAGCCGGTGCGGAAGCAGCTCTGCGCGGCGGTGGAGGAGTCGACGGACGGAGCCCCGTTCGTAGCGTCCGAACGCTCCGTTCGTAGCGAGGCCCTTTGTTCCTAGTAGCATCCTTGTTTCTACTAGTAAGGCACCTGTTACTACTAGCGTGGCACTTGTTTCTAATAGCTTCTTGTTACTACTAGTAAGGCACCTGCTCCTAGTAGCGATGCCAGGAGCCTAGTAGCGTCCTTGTTCAAAGCCATTTTTTCTGACTTGGTCTCAACACTCTGAAAGGAAAGAAAACAGAGCGATCCGAAAAAGCAACCTTCCAACATGTCCGGAAAGCATCCGGCGCGCCACTTGGGGTTCCACGCCAGGAGTTGGCGCTGCAGGACCTTGACCGTTGGCCGCAACTGTTGCCTCAGCTGGTGAGCGCCCACAGTGCCAGTCGAAGCAATGCACAGCCGGGGAGACCCAGCAGACCGAGTGCAAAAGAGAAAGCACCCCAGACCCGGAACGGCAGCGCTGGCATCCCTACTTGCTACCAGTCATGCCGTTAGTAGTAGCGATGCCCCCCTAGTAGCGTCCTTGCTCCTAGTAGCGATGCCCTTTGCCTGAAGATCTCAGGGGTGCCTTGGAGTTGGCCCATGCAGCGCTGCGGCAGCTCAGGGCCGAAGGGCGGCACGTGGAGATGTCGCGTCAAGCGAGGCGAAGACCGGGTGGCGGCGGGCGATTCTGACCGTTTGGGAGGGCTAGACCGAGCTGTGTGTCTCATGCTTGGGTGTCTCATCACCTCATCACGGTCCTTCGGATTTGAATCCCATCCCTTGTGGCCCTTGTGGCATGAAGCTTCCCCTCATCCAGAACCATTGACAGAGGCATACTGACTGGTGGCACTTGTGTTGCTTCATGTCCATCTTTCGCTGTCCTGCCAGGTGCTTCGCGGAGGTCTTGGGGCCAATGCACTTGGAGCTTTGGCGGCTCGCATGCGACAGGCGCTGAACATTCTTGCACATCACTTGCAGCATTTGCAGCTACTTGCTCTTAGGTCGGAGGCCATCGCTAGTAGGCCCTTGTTGACACTTCCATTTGGCAGGGTGGTTTCGGACATCCCAGGCACGCTCCGCATGGTTGGTTCACCGGTCTCTGGAGAAACTATGCTTCGCGCGAAAAGGGATACTGCTTTGGTAGAAGATCACATCGAAAGGACATGAAAAGACAATAATTACATGTCGTTCAAGTTTGAAAAGGGCCTATATAGCTCTTTCTTGGTGTTTTTTCCTGCCATTTGTCCTCCTGGATTCAGCGTGGGCTTAGCGAGTCTAGGCATCCCATGACACCCGACACTCCTGTGGCTTGGTTCGGGTGCCAAGTAGCAGTGCTTTCCCCGAAAACTGAACAGATACACAGCGACGCCAGCCGCGGACTTGTCGACTCCTCCAATACTGATGTTGCGGAGGGACGCACCCCATCACTTGTTGAATGCTCAAGTTTGGAATAGCAATTCCAAGCGGAAGGGACAGAGGGGACCCAGGCTAGATGCAAATCCTCAAATTCACCTATGTGAGTTGAGTACACTCTTCAACGTACGGATACTTGTTGGGGCACCAACTAGGGCGGAGGCCATCGCTTGTTGGGGTGTTCTAACGGAGCAAAGGAAGGCCACTCCAGCGAGCCCCAGCGTCGCTCCGCAGATCGCGAGAGCATCGAGCTCCTCTTGGCAGCGACACAGGCAGGAAGACATTGGGCACGTTTGAATCTAGGACGGAGCAAGGAGGCTACTGGCAAAGGGCATCGCTACGAACGGAGCAAGGACGCTACTAGGGGCTCCTGGCCTTACTACTAGGAACAAGAAGCTACTAGGAGCATAGGAATATCTAGGAACCAAATGAAGAGCGCGAGCGCTTTTTCAAGGAGCCCCCCGTCGCCTTCAGGGCGGCACGGGGAGCT